CCTACTATATAGGGCGCTAGGGGCTCTAGTACTCTATATAGTAGGTACCTGGGCGGTTAGGGGTAAGTTTAAGCCCAAAGTACCCATGTCTCGAAACCTGAGCTGTGTCGACCGTACACCTGAAGTTGAAGCTTTTGGGTTAGGGTAATTTGGGGGTTTGATGGCGGATTCAAACTTCAGGGACACATAGAGTTTACAAAAGGATTTGGAGGAGTCTTTGCGGAAACTCTGGAGGTTTATAAGGGTGTAGTTGCAGAAGTCTCACGGCTTGTAGGGTTGGTGAATTGAGGGTTGAGGAGTTAGGACTACGGGTTCATGAGCGATTCGATTGAATGGGCGACCAGGTTGAGGGCAGTGGTCTAGGCTTCGTTTGGTCTCAACTTCGCGACCATCACCCTCAGAAGCCCAGCAAAGCCCGAACACAAACCCGGGTCTGCGTGCCGTAATTTGCTGTAACTTGGCCTATATATAGGAACCCCATCAGGCCGAAGTATATACTATGTCGGAACATGGGCCCGGAGGGAGAATGGTCCTGGAGTCCCGACGCAGCACGAGGTCGTCGCGGGGTATCGATTGAGATGCAGAAGGTTTAGGGTTTATAGGTTTAGGGTTTAGCAAATCCTCAAGATGAGCTAATCTCTCTGCAAGGGCGTCCACAGGAAGAACCGAAGCTCCTAATGCAGATGCCTTAAGATGTGCATACACCGCTGGTTGAGCCTTGTCTCCACGATTGCTATTGGGTCTATATCGGGTTACGAAGGGGTTATATTCAAGTAAATATAGGGTTTGGGGCTGGGGGCTTTGACGTTGATTGTCACTCCCGCCCTAGCCACCGATTGCAGCAGAGATTCTTTAGGAAAAATTTTGTGTGTGCTGCAGGGTGAGTATATATGAGAGTCAGAGTTATATACATGCTCGAACTTTGACATAAGCCCAGAAAGACGGGAAGCAGTTCGAGCAAGGGGGGCACCGCATCGTCCGGGTTCGCCCGATACCTGACACAACTGTCTGAGAATCTTGGGCACAAGAGATGAGAGTTTCGCTTTCGCTTCAGGGCTTTGTTGAGGGGTGTTAGCAGAAACTCATCACGAAACCCTACGATAGCAAACTTCCAGCGAAAGTGCATCCTGTAACCTCTGAACGGCAAACCCTTAACTCCACAATCCTCAGTGACATCTAAGTCGCGACGAAAGACCCGGCTTCCTCTTCTTCACCTCGGTGCTTATGGTTTAGGGATGTGCATACGGTTTTGGACTTAGGGTTTAGGGACCTCACACGACCTCAGATTGCTACAGGCTTTGATATGGGAGTTTCCGAAATAATGGGTACCTTGTTTTGGGGTCCTTATAATAAGGATTCTACTATTTAGGGTGCTATATTAGGGTCCCCTATTCTCGGAAACCCCCATATGGTCTCAGATGGCTGTAGACCCGACGGCCCCAACCCCAGTGCCATTACGCAACCCTAAACCCTGGAATCGTAGCAGGTACGTACCGATTTTGCAAGACCGTTTCGCCCTGTAGCGGCACGAACACCATCAAATCCTAAACGCCTGAACCCAAAAGACTTAGCCCCAACGTGGGCCCCAACCCCGAAGATGCAACAAGATCTTTTGGCCGTCAGCCTTGGCCGTCAGCGGCTTACTTGGGGGCTCAGGATTTCGGAAGTGATGCTCTACGCACAGCAAATTGGGTTCAAAGCAATCACAAGGGGAAATACTCTACTTACTCCCATGATCCTTGCATAGGTAGAATAGGAAACAGGGAACCCGAAGGAATCACATGGCTAACCTCGTCTTCCAGGGTTGCTGGCATGCCGGTTTGGAGCAACTGTAGGGTATGCAACTACCATGTACGAAAAGATTTCGCTCATTCTATCTATTCACCGTAAATTCGTGAATTGGAACCTTGCTGATGTAATCAGGAAATACCAAGTTCCCTGTGCGGAACAAGGCTACATAGACTTATCATGACTTGTCTGCCTGTGTATGTACATACATACCTGCATACATGTACATATATTTATAGACAGATAGATAGATAGATAGATAGATAGATAGATAGATCGATAGATAGATAGACAGGTAGATGAGAGATGGATAAATAGCTAGATAGATAGATAGATAGATAGATAGATAGATAGATAGATAGATAGATCGATAGATCGATAGATCGATAGATGGATAGATAGATAGATAGATAGATGGATAGATAGATAGATAGATAGATATAGATAGATAGATGTGTATATATGTATATACACCTGCATGCATGCATGCATGCATGCATGCATGCATGCATGCATACATACATACATACATAAGTTAGATTGCAGCTATAGATAGTAGCAGCAAGGAAGGGGCAGGACTCAGCCCTTCAGATCCCACATCGCGTCGCGCCGAGCTGCAAAGACTGACTTGGCTTTGCCGCCTTCGGCATCAAGAAGGAAGACATACCTGACTTTGGGCGGTTCCGGCTTTCAGGCTTGAGGGTGTAGGAGGCTGCAGATTTCTTAGTTTGGGAAATTCGGGGATGTATAGGGCTCCGAGCACTTCGACACGATGACACGATTGGGCTTACTGGCTCCTGTATGCAGCCACCAAACCCCACTGCATCATCTGGGTCAAAGAGAAGTTGGTACCAGACTGGAAATCCGTGGGCCTCAAAAGCATGTTGGTACAGGTAGCATAATCGAGGCTATTCCTACAAATGGCTCAAACCTTGATATTCTACAACTCGAAGGCCACGAGGGTAGGAAGGACATGGTGGCCCCGCAATGGACAACAGATGTGGCAGCCAGGTCCCATGCATCAGAGCTATTTGGTCTACACGAACGCTTGTTCGTAACAGTGTCAGCCTTCTGTGCAAGGCTGGGCGCAAGCGAGTGCCGGTGCTTCCAGCGTCGCACACCGCGAAGTACTCTCCGCTGGTACTTCCTTCCCAAGGGCTGCATCCCAGGTTACGGTTTGAGGGTTTAGGGCTGCATGGGATCTAAGGTCAGAGGGATGGAGCTTCCTTCATTGCGGTTGTCACATGGTCAGTGGGTGGGCGTGGACATCTCGAGAGGCATTGACACCAGAACCGAGCTGTTTATGCCCACAACCCTTACAGTTACCTCTTGATCTTAAGCCCAGGCGCCTCCCGCCAGCCCGGCTAGCCACAGGGACAGCCCCAGAAGTCTTTTCCAGCGCGGGGAGGTCATCGCCACGAGGGTCGCTAGTCGCTAGCAGTGCTTCTTCTGCACAACAGGCCCCATATGCTTGAGGTCAAAAAGCACGAGAGCTTCGGCAGTTCTTTAAGCTGGCAGGCTCCCTGAACACCCTACAGGAACCCGCAGAACCTACCTCAAACTCGGGTCGTCCCAAGCAAGGCTTTACAGAATAGCCAAAGGAATCGACACCTTCAACCCAAAACACTAATTGAACACACCCTAAATACGTAGCCATAGGCCCTAAACCCCGAGCTCCGGGATGCTTCGACTAGGATTGCTTGGGAATTCCTGTGGAAATCCAATGCTTGAGGGCCGAATTGGTGGGACCCAACTTGTGCTGCCTCTTTTTGGTCACCTTGATTTTCAGGCTGTAAAATCATAGGCACAAAAGTGGTTGTCAAATAATTGCATGTGCTAAAATCAGGGTCAATGTAGATTCTTGGAGGAAGCTTCTTCAGATACAGGCTTGGATTTAGGGCAGTTCTCTACATTAGGGTCCCTTTGAAGGTTCCCCAAAACAGTACGGCGCCCTTATGAAAAAAATGACCCTTATGAAAAAAATGACCCTACGAGGGACCCTTGCTGAGAAAACTGCAGCTACCGAAACCTGCAACCACGATCCTGATACACATAAAATATAGAGTTTAGGGTTTAGGGGTTTAGGGTTTAGGGTGGAGAATAGGAAATCCTTGCCAAAGCTTCACTTAGGCTGGGGCAAACCTTGCCCATGGACTCGCACATGGATTTGCAGGACCTCTAAGACACACAGGGCCAAGCGCTATCATCGTCATGATCATCCTCATCCTCCTTATCCTACTCCTGCTCATCCAGCTCATCCTGCTTACCATCATCCTCATCATCACCATCATTATCATTATCATCATGAGGAACGTGAGCATCGTCTTCATCAGCATCATCGTCATCCTTATCACCACCGCCAGCACCACCACCACTACCACCACGACCACCGCCGCGACCACCACCACCACCACCACCATGATGATCCCGAATCCGGTGAACTCAGCACAAGCTCTGTCACTCACGATGTTTAAGCTTGGGTCTTGGATTACGGCCTCCGCTTCGGGTGCCAGGCTTCGGGCTTCGGCTGAACAAAGCTCCAAGAGTTCGGTTTGTATGCTGAGCCATTTGGGTGTCGGGACCGGGAAGTGTACATGTGGGCTTACAGGGGGTTTTGCAAACTGTTGAAGGGTCTTGAACCGACCACACATGATGAACGTTGCCTGCCCGCATCCTGCACGGCTGCAGCTACGACGTTCTCCCTCACTGCCTCAGGATTGCCAAAGGCTTCAGTGCCTGTAGACTTCAATTAGGCTTCTGTTGCTGGTCTCAGGGCTGGGTAGCCTTTGTCAGAGCCTTACGGCCTTACACTCGGGACTATGCATGGATGAAAACACGGTTGTCAGAAACCTCTCAGCCTTGTCTGCAGCTGTGCATGACTCGTGAAAGTCCAAGCACCCAACAGAAGCCTGTGCGAACTCGCCAGCTACGAATCTGAAGCTCCCAAGACAGAGTGCGTTTGGCTTTCCTTGCATTTTGTCCGTCGGTGTATGTTGACAGTGCAAGGATCCTGCATGGTTGAGGTTTAGGTGTTAAAGTGCAGTGGCTATTTCTCCGCAGCGGTTGTTGCAGGTCAAGTGCCCGCCTCAGCACTGAGGTACACACGTTCAAGAAGGTTAGGTTTTGAGAGACAGGGTCTGTTGAACGTTTACGGCTTTCGGATTTGAGGGTTCGGGGTCAGGATGTAAGGTTTAAGGCTTTAAGTGTTTGTTTAGGCTTTGTGCTGTAGGGGTGCAATACAGGAGCCGTTTGGCCCTTGCTTGACTCTTTGCTCCCTGCGACGGTAGGTTCAAGCATACACCGAAGGCCTATTCTGATTGCGTGAGCATACACGCAGTCGAAGTCTTGAAGTAGTATTCTGTTCCTACTGCTGCAGCACAACATGGGCTTCATTGGCTGGTTGGTATCGCAGATTATTACCATTATTACTATTATTACTATTATTACCATTATTACTATTATTACTTTGTATGAAGCTTCGAGCAGGTCGGGGCCGAGGAGATTTCAGAGTCCAGCTCTCCGGCATTGTGGAGGTCTCAATTCAAGTCGGTGCGCCAGGTTGCGAACGCTAGAGCCGATAGAGTTCAAAACACTTAGGGTTGAGGGGTTATGGGGTTTAGGGTTTAGGGTTTACAAGACAGGGGAAAGGGTCGGCCTTGCTATGGTCCCCTCTCATGATGTTTGTTGTGGTGCTGCTGGCGACGATGGTGGTTATGCTGGTTGTGAGAACGATTGTAATGATGAGGAGCGATTGTGATTGACACAGTGACAGTGATCATGCCGCAAGCACATCTACGGAGGTTCAGGGGTAGTTACAAGTGGGGTTATAAGTAGGGTAACTATTCTTATTTCCCATATTAGGGGACTTATAACCCTATAACTGCCCATGAACCTCCAAGTACGGTCACTACAACCACAATCATCAGCAGATCCGGCTGCTCTGAAGCTGCGGCCAACAACGGTGGCGGGGACAAGTGGAAGTCCTGCTGGCACGATGCGACAAAGAGGCTCTCGATACACTAATTTGCTCCAAAAACAGCAGAAGCTAAACTGGCGAACGAGAACCAACATCACCGGGCTCAGCACAAGTCTGTCTCTCAAGAGCCCGAAACGTACATCGGCTAGCTAACAACGTTTCAGCATGAAGGACCGCCCAAACACCGTAAAATACGCCAAGATGAACAAATAGAGCGCAAACTCTCCGCGCGATATAGCTTCTTGCTCGGCTCGATCTGACTCTTCACGGGGATTTTGGTGCCACTTATGCGGCAATGATGATTTACATTGGAAGATCCTGAGCAAGTCGAGGCATCTGAGAACAGAGGTGGCAATGAGGACACAAAAAACACCCCAAACAGCCGGCGTATTCGAGACTTGCATGGCTTATATATATATATATGTATACATATACATAAAAATTATATATCTATAAATGGAAAAAACTCATGATGTCCCACGGCCATGCACCACGAACCATCGCCTTGGGTATCTGGGATCGGTATGCTGCAGGTGCTACAAGAGCCAAGATAATGGAGGACAGTAACTTCAAAGCACGGTCTTCGTCAAGCGAGGATCAAAGACACTGCACAAGTTCAAGCCAGCGGATGCTACAGCATCATCACATCCAATGATCGCATTATGCTTATGCGGACCCCATACGGGTTGCAACGGTTGCCCGACCTGTTGCCAGAAAAAGCACCAAACAGACCCCAACACTATAAATGTCTAACGCAAAATGTCTAATGCCCGCGATCGAAACCCTCATGGTTCACCTTACACAACCCCAGCACTACAAACAACTGCCTAGGCGCTAACCAAACCCCGAACATTGTAAACCCTTCACGTACCAAATCCTAAATCCTTCTAAACCCTACACCTGCCAAATCCTGAACCTGCTGAGCCTAATCCTGCTGAACGAGAAGAAGCCTCCAGAAACACGGCGAGCCTTCGCCGGGAGCAGCACGCGGCCCTGCAGGTCCTGCTCCGGATCTCTCGGCTGCTTGAGGGTTTGATGTGGGGGGCGATAGCGGCATGATATCTATAAGGATCTCTAAGGGGTACTGCTGTATGGTTCTCCATTCTGCCTTGCAAACTTTCTGGTCACCTTTTTGGGCCTTGGGCTTGCCAGGCGTCGACCTTGAGGATCGAAGCGGACTTGGGGCGTGACTGTAGGACTTTGGGGCAGAAGTTCCAGGGTGACCAGGAGATACGGGATGAATTCGGCCCTAAACCCTAAACCCCTAAACCCTAAACCCCTAAACCCTAAACCCTAAACCTTCGTAACTAGGCGTTTGGCTGCAGGACTGGTAGTTTTCCTTAGGGATCCCAGTCCCCAGCTAAGACCCCTGCGTGGCTTCCGCCCGAAGCCCGCAATACCCCGCCTCGGTCCGCCCGAGCGCTTGGCGTGGGTAAAATCCTGAATCGCGCTGTGGATAAGCGCTATTGGGTCCTCTGTACGCTTGCGAGGAGGCCCAATTTCTGCCCTACCCTTGTGGTAGCTGGCCCTTTTTATCTGCTCTACGCCCCGCTTTGGCAAGTTACTGCTGGCTGCTTCGGCCCACTGGTAACCTGGCCATTGGTGGTGGCACGGAATTTTGGTGCATGGGAAGCACCGTTCCTTGTATTATCCTGATTTGTGTGTGGATATTCAGCAGGCCTGGTGAGGCGCTCCTCGACGGAAGCCGCCTGGCACAGGCGCTTACGAAGGCAGCGGACATCTGCAAGGGCGATTTTGAGGATTTACTTGTTGGGACAGCAGTGCCCGGCAAGGCAGATCTGGAAGGCAATTGGACGGCTGGAAGGGCACCATTCTGCCAGCAAGCTCCCGTTGCAAGCGCGACGGAAACTGCACGAGGACCGCGCCATGACGAGCAGAACATGGAAATGTGGACAATGTCGCCAGCAGTGCAAAGCGACGGCACAGTTTTGTCAACAGTGTGGAGGCCACTGGCAGCAATGCATGGAGACGACGCCCTATGCGCCGCAGGTGCGCCAAGGAGCACCCTGGGCTGGGGCCCGACCAGGTGCGTGGGACAGGTGGGACAGCCCGCGACAGAGGCAGAGCTCACCGAGACGCAGAGGCCGTGGAAAGGGTGGCCAAGGCAAAGGCAAGGGCAGCGACCTGCCAAAAGGCAGGCAGGATGGCAGCGATGGTGGGCCGCCACAGCCGCCCTCGTTGGCAGCCTTGCCCAAGGCACCGAAGCCTGCGGAGCAGGCTGCTGCGCCGGATGTCCCAGCTACCTCGACGGCAAGAAGCTCGGTGGATCCCACGCTTCAGGCCCTATTAGGGGCTTTGGCACAGACGAGGGAGGACTTGCCAGCTGCCATCCGCGAGATGTTGGATGTGCACACGCAGCAGGACCATCGCACCTTCTCCAAGACGTTACACAAAGCGGTGGCGGCACAGGGCATGGCCAGAAGGGAGCTGGCCACCTTGAGGTCAGCCAGGCGCGACTATGCCAAGGCCTGGCTATCCTATACAGAAAGCCTGTGCTCTATGTGGTCCGGCCAGATCGAGGAAAAGAACAATGCGATGCAAAAGTATGCAGAGCAGGAAGCCAAATGGGAGACCCAGCTAGCAGAATGCTCAAGGCAGATTGCTCAGCTGGCCTCGAACGGCGAGGTCGTCGACAAGGAGGCCGAGGCCATCAGCGTGGACACCGAGGACGATATGGAAGTGCAAGCGGACATGCTTGCACAGCAAGAAGCTCAAAGGCAAGTCAGTCTGGAGAAACTGCAACAGCAGGAGCAGCAGATCACGAACGCCTTGAAGAGTGCAGCCGAGGCTGCTGTGGCCCAGGCAGACATGTTTGCCGACAAGGAGCGGGAGAGATCGCCAAGAAGGCGTTCCAAGCAAGCCGAGGTGCCAAACTCTGGCAAGGACGCCGCGAAAGAAACGAAGGAGGTGCCCAAGGCACCACCAGCCAAAGCGGGGGCTGCTTTGCCGCCCCCTCAATGAGCCTCACAACGAGCCTACCGGGACTTGTGAGGCGAACCCAGCTGCAGCAGCAGCCAGTATGCGGTGTTACCTTCCGGCATAGTGTGACTGAGGAGTCCAACTATGTCTCCCCCTTCTTGGCCAGCTTCCTGGGTCTGCGACTACAGTTTGAAGCGAGCCTGGCGAGAACTGGAAGCGGTGCTCAATGCTGGGACCCGAGGATCCAGGAGATGACTGCTATTTGGGACAGCAGCCTACACACCAAGGGGTCGAGTGGTTTCCCCCTTGTTGGTGGTACAAGCCGGATCCTGCCAGTGAGAGGGCCAGATGAGGCCGCTTGGCCGGGAAGCAATGTACAGAGTGTAGTTTCTTTTAAGGGCGTGCCAGTCAGTAGGACCGTTTCCTTTGCTGACAAGCCACAGGTTAAACTCTTTGAAGTAGGCTCGTGTCTTGCACCGGGCCTGCTGGCCGCGCCGAGCCCTCCTCCCAAGAATACGGCGCGCGACCATAAAACAGGCATACTCAATCGTAGTCTGTCTGGCGGGCGAGTGCGGCCTGTTGCCAGCACCCCTGCCCCAGCATCCACCCCCCAGGCTGTTACGCTAGGTGAGGTCGATGCGGTTCCTTCCGACTGCCTGCATGTCAGCGTTCAGGCACCCATGGACACAACCACCCCGCCAAAGGTCTGCAGTGTGCCTGTGAGTAATAATGCGATTTATGCGCGGGACTCGGCTTGTGTCCCCTCCGAGCCGCCGGAGGTTGTGACGCCCCAGAGGCTGCCCCGCAAGCAGCCAGCCGGACGCAGTCCTGGCCAGATCTCTATCTTCCGTGCAGAGGCCATCACCGTGCTACCAGAAACGGTCAGGGCTGCACATGTTTTCTACAGCCCCTCGCACACCTTCTCTTGGGGCGGAGTACGGGGAGAGGGAGGCAAAGGTAGATTCACGGTCTTTGACCATGAGCGGCATGTAACAATCGAGCAGTGTATGCCGGCGGCAACCCTTTGCGACCAAATAGCGTTGGCGATTTCAGGTTTACCGTTTACGGCTTCGGCCGTCTACGTACTGACCGACGTGCTCCCTGATCTTCCATGTCCCCAACTTGTTTTCATTGAGGCAGGCAGGCCGCCAACGGAGCTGTCTATCCCGTGGGATGCCCGACCCTTGAATGCTGGGGTGCACACACTCAGGCATGAAAGCCGCGAGCCAAGGTACGTAGCACTGGACAAGTTGCAGCCGCGCGTTGGGAACCTGCCCAACCTCCAGCAGGATGTGGATGCAGGACGCATCATTATACAGGATGCCCTCGGCACAGTCTTGGCTGACTTGCAAGCCAACCTCCACGTTGTACAGCACTTCCGCATGTACCATGTGCCCCACTTTGTTGTCAATGTTTGGCCTCCAGGCGGGAACGACGTGGGGTGGGTCCCGCAGCCCACGAGCACGACGACTACCACCACCACGGCCGTGCGAGTCCAGACAATGTGCATCTCCTTCCCCACGTGCCGGCTTGTCATGCTCCGCGGATATGTTGCTTACAGTGTTGAACTGTCTGCATTTCACAACTTGATTGACCATGCCATCCTTCTGCTCATTGAAAGGCATGCTAGGGACGAGGCAATTCCTGAGGAGGCCCGTATCCTTGCCACTAGTGCTTTGCCTCCCAGGTCAGGGTACAGTCAAGATGTCATTCTCCTACTTGTTGAAGACGTTCGGGAGACTGTCATCGCATGGGATGCCGATAGGTATGGGCAGGCCACGGGATCCAGGCGTCTAGGTGCCTATACTGCCCTGCGCAGCCTTCTGACACAGCAGCAGCACGACCAAGGCTGGAGGTTAGCTGTAAATGGAGTCCCGATCGAGAACGCCCATCGTCCTGCAAGGCACGGCGATTACATTCAGGTTTATAAAGGCGACGAGGCCCCGGCAGTAGCGCCATTGGGGTGGGCGCTGGCTCACTTCCCCTGGATGAGACCTCTCGCGTGGCAACTCCGTATCGGGGCCAGTGGGACATCACTCCAGCGCCACTTGAGGCATAGGAGGCAACAGCTTGGCATGCATCTCCCCCAAGAAGGGATTGTGACCGTGCACGGGCCAGCGCACGGAGACCTTGTGATTGCCACCGGTGTTCATGCAACGCCTACTATGGCACAGGCGCTGGCGGCTGTCAAGCGCCTCCATTGGCTGCCGATGGGCCTTGACTTCCATGCTGCGGCCATGAGACAGACTGACACTATCGCGCTTGTGAGCACCCAGCCTCACTCGACACATAATACTGTCTTGAGCCCGGTCCCAGGTTACTGGGGGCAGTTCCATGTGTTGCTAGTCGGCCCCAATACACGCCTTCTTACCCACGTCCCCGCAGACCCTGGTCTCCGCCTGTATCCACAGCACGGGCTTCGCATGGGTGACGTTCTTACCATCCTCCCGCCGGCGCCGGCCACACCAGGTACTCCAGACTCTGAGGCCATTGATGCTGCACGCGAGGTTGTTGACACTGATCAGGAAGATGCGCGCAGCGACGCTGATGCTGCGCGTGAAGGCGGCGAAGGTGGCACCTCCCTGGTGCAGATCGTAGACTACAGCCACAAGCAAAAGCGCCGATGTGAGGCCCTACGACGCCTGCATCCTGACAAGACTCACTGCCCTTGCATAGAGGGAACCCTGCCATGCCTTGACGTCGCCTCAGTTGAAGGTTCCCAGGTCGCGCCTATGAAGGGCTACCAGGTCGGTCTGTCACACACTGTAGACCCTGCCGAAGAGACTGTATACCCTGCCAAAGAAGGAAACATCATGCCCCCTTCTAGCAGGGTCTACAGTAGGGTCCAAAGTAGCAAAAACCCAAAAAACGGACCTTGGTGGACCCTCATAGTCGCGCCTCATGGTGACCACGGTGAGGGCATTGGCAGCAGTGAGGCCCTACTGCGCCTACATCCTGACAAGAATCACCGCCCTTGCATAGA